TCCCTCAGACCAGGCTCTGTTAGGCAATGTGGGTTCCCAGACCTCTGCATTTTTAACAGATGTGAATCGTACTGATTCTGAGCACCCAAAACTGAGGACAAGAGGGAGGAGGTAAGAGCCCAGGCTCTGGAGTCTGGCAGACAGACTTGGGATCAAACCCTAACTCTACTACTTCTAGCTGTGTGACCTGGGCCAAGTGATATAATCACTCTGAGCCTCAGTTTCCTCATCCATAAAATGGGGATCATGACAGTATGTCTTTCGAAGTATTGAGGACAATATTTGATGAGATAGCATATTTAAGGATCTACCTGGGACATGGGTAAGCACTAGACTTAAGCCCCATGAGGATGCTGAAGACGAAGAAGTTGATGATTATAGAACTGCCCTCCCCAGGTCTCAGTAGCTCTGGGTAAAAGCAAAGAATCTAAGAGAGCACCCAGGCCAACCTGTCAGGTGACCTGAATTCTCATCCTAACTCTGCCATTAACTTATCCCAAGTGCCTATTTCCTCCTTTGGGTTTAGTTTCCCCACCTGTTAAATGAATGGATCTGGCAATATTATTTAAGATTGTTTCTGAGGACCCTGGAGACTTCTAATCCCAGTGGTGGCATTAGGGGCTGTGCCCCCCTTTCCTGCTGGCCCCAGCAGCCAGCCTTTCTCTAGGACCTCACACCAGCAACACAAGCTCTTTATTCTTCTGTGGAGGGTGGAGTTGGGGAACGCCTAAGGAGATGAGACTGAGTGGTGAGGCTTTTCTCAGGGAAGAATGCCTCCCGGGATTCAACAGAGGAGTCTGGGAACATCCCAGGAGCTTGCTCAACAGGGATTGAACTTAATTTTAAGGAACCAGCCCTGGCACATTGTCCAGGTTCTGTGACAAACCTCTCTGACAGAGGCTGGGTCCTAGCTCATCCCCTACACCCCTGGCTGCACGCTGGGGCACTTAGGGTAGGGTCTCACTGGCCATGCTTTCCTTCATTCATTCACTACATATTTTCTCTCTCTCTCTCTCTCTTTCTCTCTATCCTTTTCCACCAGCATTAACATAAACTCAGTGCACCCTCAGCAAAAGCTTCCCCTTTCCTCCTTCCTCCTCCCCCTGGTAACCACTACTAATCTTTGTCTCTATATATTTGCTTATTTCATATAAGTGAGATTTTACCGTATTTGTCCTTCTGTGACTGCCTTATTTCACTCAGCAAGACGTTTTCAAGGTTCATCCATCTTGTGGTCTGGGCCTCAGGACTTCATTTCTCTTTATGGCTGACTAATATTCTATTGTGGAGCCCTGGTGGCGCAGTGGTTAAGAGCTCGGCTGCTAACCAAAAGGTTGGAGTTCAAATCCACCAGCGCTCCTTGGAAACCCTATGGGGCAGTTCTGCTCTGTCCTATAGGGTCATTATGAGTTGGAATTGACTCAGCAGCAATGGGTTTTTCATGGGTAATGTTCTATTGAGCATATATACCATATTTTGTTTATCCATTCATCTGTTGCTGGAGAAAACCCAAACCAAACCCATTGCCTTCAAATCAATTCTGACTCAGAGCGACCCTATAGAACAGAGTAGAACCACCTCCTAGGCTGTAAATCTTTACAGAAGCAGACTGCCATATCTTTCTCCCGCAGGGCAGCTGGTGGTTAGAACTGCTGACCTTCAATTAGCAGCCGAGTTGTTTAACCACTGCTCCACAGGTCTCCATGATCGATGGACATTTACTAAATATTTTTAAGCACCTATTCTGCACCAGTCAGAGGCTGAGACACGCAGCAGGAGACAGAGTTTATGGTGTATTGATGAAGGGCAGATGTTAACTTAAAAAATATTTATTTAAAGGGGCAGTGAACGCTATGGAGGAAAAATACAGTATAACCCAAGGTATGGTGACCTGACGTAGTCAGAGAGTATCAGGGAGGGCTTCCTAGAGAAAGGGACATTTACACTGAGACCTAAACGTTGAGTAAGAGTTAGCAGAGGGGAAGAGCCTTCCAGGAGGAGGGAACAGCATGGTGGAAACTTTGGAGGTAAGCGCTGAAGCAAAGGCCAGTGTAGCTGGCAAGGTTGGCAGGGGCCAGACCCTGCAGGGCGTAGTGTGGACCTTGTGCAGAGGGAAATGGGGGGCTGTGAAAGAATGCTAAGCAGAGGCAGGAGCCGCTCCCACATCGTCCACCAGCTGTCTTGAACTTAGGAACTTAGGAAGTGGAGGCTGTCTGCCATTCAGGGTTGGACTGTATCCAGTACGCTCAGAGAGGACAACACCAGCAGAAGAGGGAGAGAGAAGAAGGAATGAGAAGACCTTTCCCAGCCCCCTCCCCTGCAGATATCCCTCAGGTCTCTGTGGGCAGAACAGGGCACAAGCTCATCACTAGCCAGTCACCAATAGGGGGCGTGCGTCTACCAGGGTTGGTTTAGATTAATCAGTACCCCCTGCATCCGGTAGAGAAGGGTAGATGCCCCACCCCAATTAGGCAGCAGCTTGAACAAGGAAGTTGAGGGAACAGCTGTTACATAATCAATCAGTGGTGTCTGCTACTGTGAGTAAATCAGTAAATATTTCCCAGCTTCTTCTTTTAGTAGAGAGGGAAATAAAACCAGCACTTAGTGAGACAGGGAGACCCTGGGTGGTGAAAATGGTTAACATGCTGGGCTGCTAACCAAAAGGCTGGAGATTCGGAAGAAAGGCCTGGTGTGATGGATTGAACTGTGTCCCCCAAAAATATGTGTCGTAAATTTTAACCTCTATGCCTGTGGTTATAATCCCATTTGAGAATAGGTTGGCTTTGTTATGTTACTGAGGATTAGTGTAGGGTGTATCTTGAGTCAGTCTCTTTTGACATATGAGAAAGATTAAACAAGCAAGCAGAGGTGGGAAGAGGATAGACACAATGCCACTTGAAGATCACCAAGGAGCCAAGGAATAAGGATTTTCCCCCAGAGCCAACAGAGAGCAAGCCTTCGCCTAGAGCTGGCGCCTTGAATTTGGACTTTTAGCCTCCTAAACTGTGAGAAAATAAATTCCTGCTTGTTAAAGCCACCCACTTGTGGTATTTCTGTTATAGCAGCACGAGATAACTAAGGCACCTGGCAGTCTACTTCCCAAAAGTCAGCCATTGAAAACCCTGTGGAGCACAGTTCTACCCTGACATACACGGGGTCACCATGAGTCGGAACCACCCCTAATCCAGCTCCCAGCCATCCCCACTGTTTTTGCTGAGTGGCATTTTCCACTTTGTTCTCATGCATATCTACATTTGTTACTATTCCCATTGCTGTTATTATTAAAACACAAAACTGGGGCTCCGGGAGGCAACCCTGTCCCCCCAGGGTCTTTGAACACACCCTAATTCTGCATCTTTGTCTTCAGGGATGGTGGGGAGCCCAGCCCTAGCTGAAGGGAGCCAGTGTCGTTGATGTTGAAAGGCTATAAAGCTCGGCATGGATAGAAATGCCTGGCGATGCCACCTGCTAATTAAGTGAGGGACATTGTGCAGCCTCCAGTGCTGTCACATGTCGGGTGATGGAGAGCTGATCCCGTTTGATCAGCTCCCATCTCCCCATTCCTGTGTCTCCTCTTGTGCTAGGACGCTCAAAGGCAGGTTTGAGGAGAGTAGCCCCGTGGAGCTGCGTGGTGTGAGCAGCGCCCACCCCAAAGATTCCCTGCCAGGGCCTCCCCTCTCAGCCCCCTGTGAGCCACAGTCCTTGGCCTGTTAATATTGCTGAACTCTTTATGTTGGCCCAGATGGTTCTCCTTTGCAGGCCTCACTTACTAGCTACATCTGCAATGTGTAATGGTGGATACCAAACCAAAAACCCACTGCCCTCGAGTCAATTCCGACTCATAGCAACCCTGTAGGACAGAATCGAACTGCCACGTAGGGTTTCCAAGGCTGTAGTCTTTATGGAAAGAGACTGCCACATCTTTCTCCCTCAGAGCGGCTGGTGGGTTCCAACCACCGACCTTTCAGTTAGCAGCCGAGTGATGGTGGCTACAAGCTTGTGGAAAAAAGGATGGAAGAGGGACTCACAACTTCTGGGAGTTGAGTGTCAATCCTGCCTCTGTCCTTGCTGTGCGACCTCAAGAGAGTTGCTTCACCTCTCTGAGCCTCAGTTTTCTCATGTTCAAAATGAAGGCAAGAAGAAGGGAGGCTTAAACATATTATTATATCTAAAAGCATCTGGCACGTGCAGGTATTCAAGAAATGTGAGTTGCTTTGCTTCTTCTTGCTTTTTTTCATCGCTCCCTTTTTCTTTTGGAGAATGGGGAGAAGAGACTCAAAGTTCGGGATCTACTCATTCTTTTTCTACAACAGAAGGTTGCCAATACCCTACATCTACTTACACCGGTAGTTCTCCGCTCTGGTTGCACACCAAATGCGTCTAGGTAACTTGGAAAACTGATGCCCGCCTTCCACCCCCAGGAGTGATTTGTCAGGTTTGGTCTGGGCATCTGGATTTTTAAGAGCTTTCCAGATGATTCTCACGTACAGCCAGGTGGCTTATATTCTCTTCCCCCGTCCTATCCCACGGATTTCCTATCACCCTCACCTTCATCCCCCTAGGTAATCGTGTAGTGAACGGATTCTTTTCCTCTATCATTCCTTATTTTAAGGACTAGTGACGTTTAGGAGCCCAGGTGCTGCAGTGGTTAAGCACTCGGCTACTAACCGAAAGGTTGGTGGTTCGAACCCACCAGCTGCTCTGCCGGAGAAAGATGTGGCACTCTGCTTCCATAAAGATTACAGTCTTGGAACCCCTATGGGCAGTTCTACTCTGTCCTATAGGGTCCCTATGAGTCGGAATCAACTCCGTGGCAATGGGTTTGTTTTTTGGTTTTTTGAAAAGCAACCGTTGCTAGTCATCTCCCGCCCACCACCAGGAGGCGCCAGAGAAAATAGACGCCTTTCTTTCTTCCGCGCGTTCAGTGTCGTGCTGGAGCTGGCTTGGCCCTCGCGCCGCTCCGTCGCCGGGCTCGTTGCCGGGATAGCGAATGTTGAAACGGCTGGCGTCGGTGCAGGGCTGCCTGCGGGGAAATTGTCTTGCTTGTGGGACCTTGAGCTAGGAGGGGTCTCTTGGGAAACTCCAGGACCCAGAGGAACGTGAGTCAGGAGGCTAGGTTCGTCCGGGAGCCGGTGTTGGGGCCGAGACCGGGTCCCAGCCGCCGTCGGCCCGCAGTGGCGGGAACCGGGGTGGGTCTGGGGACGCGAGGACAGGTCGCCCGGATTCCCATCCTCGGTCTGCTCCCAGTGCGCTCTGGCTCCGACACTTCCCGCTGTCGTCTTGCTTGTCAGATGTGGTTGTTGAGGCTCAGAGAGAGAAGCGACTTGTTAGGGAGCCACCCCGCTTGTTGGTGGCGGATCCGGGATTGGAACTTTAAGTTTCTTGACTACTTGGTACAGAGGTTTATTCACTGGCGACTTTAAAGGGCAAGGAAGAAGGTATGTCAGGCCTGCCACAGTTTCAAGACCGAGGTTGCAAACTGGCAGCCCGCGGGCTAGAATTGACTTATAGATGCAGGTTATTTTCCCGCAGGTCCTGGAGGGCTGTGAGTTAGAAACTCTTGGCGGGACCCAGGCCTATTCGCGTATTCAGTAGACGTTGGCACGACCATAGCCAGGCCACTGGGTAAATCCTGCACACGAGGGCAGCTGTGGGGCAGGGAGAAAGCTGTCCAGCCCAGAGTAAGACTGCTCTGCTTTCTTGTCCCAGCTGTGTCCCCAGATTGCCCTGTGACTGTAAGCAAGTCACGTCCTTTCTCTGGGTTGCAGTTTCTCCATCCGTAAGACGAGGTGGCCCAGAACGCTTTCAGCTGCAACGCCTGGGCTTAGGACTGCCAGGGCACGTTAGTCCCAACAAGCAGCCTGTCACAGTTGACAGCCTGGAATCTGGACTCAGACCAATGTGAATTAGAATCCCATCTCTTTTATTTCCTCTGTTTCCTGGCTGTGTGTTCCTGGACAAGTCATTCCACCTCTTCGAATTTAATCTACCAAATAACGGGGATGGTTATAAGGATGCGAACGTAAGATGTTCCTTGAATGATTGTCTCTGTTACTTTATGCAGAGTGTAAACATCCCCAAGGTGTCTGATCCAGCATTGCTAGGAGTGGTTCTTTCTCTTGTGTCCTCAATGCCCCTGATAATGCCTGGTTCGTAGTCAGTGCAGCCCAAGTTTATTTAAGTCAGCGATTTGCAGTGCTGACAGCAAATAATTTTTAAAATGCCAATGCCTGGGGCCCACTCTAAGATTTTCTGATTTAATTGGTCTGTTATTTTTTTAAAAGCTTCACCAGGCGATTCCAATGTGCAGCCGGGGTGAGGACCACTGATCAGGGGATGAGGCCTAGCTTGGGGAGGGTTCCTGGGGTTTGCAGTCAGCTCACTTTCCTGCCATTGCTGTTCTCAGATGGCACTGCCCACACTGCCCTCCTACTGGTGCAGCCGGCGGCTCCTAGGTCAGCAGTTAGCACGGCAGCAAGAGCAGGCAGACCGGCTTCGGCAGCAGTGGGATCAGAACAGCCGCTACTTCCAACTCTCTGACATCTGCAGCTCCAAACAGGCAGAGTGGAGCTCCAAGACCTCCTACCAGCGGAGGTAATTACACGGTGACCACCAGTTGGATGGAGATGGGGGCCACTTGCTGGTCACGGGATGTGGCGTTAAAGGCCTGGGGAGTGTGGCGCAGCTTGACAGCATGTCTTCTAGAGGGATTTGCTGAACAGCATGGATTGCCTGCCTGGTGGTGATGTTTTTTCCCAACTGAAAAAAAAAAATCAGTGAAGTAATATTACATTTGCATTAAAAAAAGAAAAGATGCTCAGCTTCATTAGCCATCAGAGAGATGCAAATCAAAACCACAATGAGGTACCATTTCATTCCCACTAGGATGGCTAAGATAAAAAACAAAAAACAAGAAATGTTGGTGAGGATGTGGGGAAATTGGAACCCTTATCCATTGCTGGTGGGAATGCAAAATGGTATAGCCATTGTGGAAAACAGTGTGGTGGTTCCTCAAAAAACTAAAAATGGAACTATCATATGACCCAGAAATTCTACTCCTAGGTACATACCCAAAAGACGTGAAAGCAGAGACTGAGAGACTTGTGCACCAGTGTTCATTGCCGCACTGTTCACAATAGCCAAAAGGTGGAAATAACCTAAATGCCCGTCAGCAGATGAGTGGATAAACAAAATGTGGTACATACATATAGTGGAATACTACTCAGCTAGCAGGAGAAATGAAGTCTTGATACATGCTACAGTATCGATGGAGCTTGAAGACATTATGCTGAGCAAAATAAGCCAATCACAAAAGGACGAATATTATATGACTTCACTTATATAAAAAGACAAGGAAAGGCAAATGTATATAGACCAGAATTTATTAGTGTTTACCAGGGGTGGGAGGGAGAGGGCAAAGAGAGGGTTAATGGTGATGGAAAAATCGCATTGATTAAGGGCAGGGTTGCAAAGCCGATTATTGTAATTGCTGTCAATAAGCTGTACACCTGTAAAAAGCTGAATTGGCAAACGTTGTGTAATAGAGACATTTACAACAACAACAAAAAGTACAAAAAGTAGCTGCTGAGGCTGCTTATGTGCAACCAACCACCTTAGGGGATTTGATTCCTTGATTTGGAGGTTTAGGGTCATGATTTCATGGGACATCCACTTAACTGGCCTAATAATGTGTTTAGTGCTTCAGTTCTACCTCCTAGTTCCTTGAGTAGTGCCTGGGGTCTAAAAGCTTGCGAGTGGCCATCCAAGACACAACAGTTGGTTTCTATTCACCTGGAGCAACAGGAAAAAGGAGAGTTAGGAATAGGAGGAGGATATGGAAAGTGTGGCTAATAGCCTCCATGAACAGCTGCCTCATTTGCCATGAGACCAGAAGAACTGGATGGTGCCTGGCTACCATGACTGAACATTCTGATCAAAGATTCCATAGAAGAATGCTGATCAGAATTTCAAATTCTCATGGACTCTAGACTTTCTGGAGCCATGGAGGGTGGATAAACTCCTGAAACTCTTGCCCTGAGATAATCTTTAAGCACTAAACCTAAAATATCCCCTGAAGTTGTCTTAAAACCGAATAATTGTTTAGCTCAACTAGTAAAAAAGGCCAGCCTTGAACATTATGTTTTTTTTAAGAACTATCTGTCTGAGATCAAACTGACAACAGGCAACTGGAAAGATTAGCTAGGAACCTTCGGGGCGGTGAGTTTGTTAATGGGGGAGGAGGAACTCAGAAAAGGAGGGTCAGAATGGCTTCACAACTCCAAGAATGTAATCAGTTCACTAACTTGTATATGTAGAAACTGTTGAATTGGTATATGTTTTGTTGTGTATAATCTCAACAACAGCAACAAAATAAATAAAATTTAGAAAAAAAAGATAATACAGAAGTGTTTGAAGTAGAATATAGAAGTCTCCTTGTAATCCCACATCTCTATACTTTTATACAAAAACACACACTCACACATAAACCCATTTTTATAGAAATACACGTGAAAATATAGAAGTTAAAAGCATAGGCTTTGGAGTCAGACAGATCTGGATGGAAATCCTGTCACTTGCTACATGAATGAGCCTCAGTTTTCTCATCCCTAAAATAGGGCTAAGACAGAACCTACTTTATAGGACTTATGTGATAGTTAATATATCATCATTCATGTAAGTACATATATACACACATATATATACATAAACTAGTTGCCATTGAATCGACTCTGACTCATGGTGACCCCATGTGTGTCAAGAGTAGAACGGTGCTCCATAGCATTTTCAGTGGCTGATTTTTTGTAAGTAGATCGCCAGGCCTTTTTTCCGAGGTGCCTCTGGATGGACTCAAATCTCCAACCTTTCGGTTAGCAGCCGAGCACATTAATGTATTGCACCACCTGGGGACTCCATGTATATACATATATACACACACACAAATACGTACACATACGTATACACGTGTAGACATATATACACATACCTTAGCTCTTGGTACATGTAATTGTTTAAAAAAGTTAGCGATTACTGTTATCACATGTATGCAGGAGCGTGTTATATGTATTTGTGTCACCATGTTATGTTTGCCTAAGCCTCTTCCACCCACACAGCAGAGCAGAGCGTTCCACCATGTGTCTGTAGTGCCGCTGATGTATTGTGGGCTCCTTCTCACCCAGCATGCACGCCTATCAGCGTGAGAAGATGAAGGAGGAGAAGAGGAGGAGTCTGGAGGCCAGACGCGAGCGACTGAGGCAGCTTATGCTAGAGGAGCAGGACCTGCTGGCCAAGGAACTGGAAGACCTGAGGCTGAGCATGAACTCACGGGAAAGAAGAATCCGGGAGAGGCATGGGAACCTGAAATCAGCCCGAGAAGAGCAGAGGAAACTGGTAACTTCTCAGAGGCCTTTAGTCGGAGCATCCTCAGCCTGTCAGTGAGCACGCACGGGTTGCCTCCAGGCACTCTGATCCGATGAGATGGCAGCTGACCCTAGAGCAGCCGGGAAGAGCATAACTCTTAAGTCCTTAGTTAGGGAGTGTATTTTGTACAAGCTGACTCTATTGTCTTTGTCCTCTTGAGTCATTACACCCGAATCCTTTCCCTTTCTTCCAGTTCTGTGGTTCCACAAAGGTCTGGGTGTGGAATATTTTACCTTCCAGAGTAGGTGGAAGGGAGAGCCCCATCTATGTTTTTAGCCTGTGTTTTCACCCTGGGTGGTACAAACGGTGACCGCAAGCTCACCCACTGACTGAAAGGTTGGAGGCTTGAGTCCACCCAGAGGTGCCTCGGAAGAAAGGCCTGGTGATCTACTTCCTAAAAATCAGCCATTGAAAACCCTGTGGAGCACAGTTCTGCTCTGACACACATGGGATCACCATGAGTCAGGGTCAACTCAACAGCAACTTTTTATTTTAACATATTGTAAAACCCCTAGGTCCGACCTGTCTGTAGCTCAGATTTTGGCCCTTTTCTCGCCACTGTAAGAGTCCCTTGCTGTCTGGCTTGCGGAGCCGTGGGTGCCAGGCCGGGTGCAGCGAGTACGTGTGAGTGAGGAGCTCTTAGCCTGGCTCCTGAGCTGGCCTCTGTTGTGGGTGTCTAAGATTTGAAAAATGACATCGCGCTTCCCTTTTTGTATCTTCTTGACAGATTGCTGAGCAGCTTTTGTATGAACACTGGAAAAAGAATGACCCTAAACTTCGAGAGGTGAAAACCAAAGAGATCCTCCCATTGATTTGCCTAAGTAGATGAAATCATGGTTCCAGATGGTTTTAAACTTGCATCTTGTGCTGGGTTGAAACAGAGGAGGGAACACTCCAGCCGTGAAGAGCACCATGCAGAGGAGCTGGTGTAGCCTGCACTGAGCGGTCACTGGTCCTTTCACAGACATTTACTGAGCAGCTCCTGCAGGGCTTCCAGATGGGGTGTGGAGAAGACACGTGGTCCCTGCCATTAAGGAGCTCGCAGTCCAGCAGGGAGACAGCAGGCAGAGGGATGCAGTGCAGGATGCTGGGTGCTGGGCCAGCCTGGGGAGATGGGGCACGGGGGCAGTGCCTCCAACTCGGTCAGGGCCTGGGAGGCATCTGAGAGGAGGAACTGGGGTTTGGAAGGACAGGGGCCATTAACTTGAAGGTGCAGAGATGAGGGAAGGATGTTCTAGATAAAGGCAACCATGCTGCCAACCAGGTGGCCTTTGAAATCGTATTTCCAGTTCACTCTGCTGACTTGGAGAAATTTCTGTTAACTTTGTTTTGACTCTTGACATTGGCTTAGAAGTGCCTGCTCCTTTTCTAATTCAGCATTCAGACCGTATTTGCTGGGGCCAACCTGCGCACCTTTACTGTTCTGAAGTGGGCACTTGGGCCACTCTGAGTCCTCACAAAGGGACGTCATAATCATGCTTCAGTGGTGGCACAGAAGGCAGCACGCTGTCTCCCACAGTGCATATCTGTCAAATGAACCAACCAAGGAATTAATACTCTCGCCCTCTCATCCTTAGATTGAATTGGACCTTCACAAGAAGCATGTGATAAACTCTTGGGAAGCACAGAGAGAGGAAAAGAAACAGGTGTGGTATACAACCCTGGAAACAGTCCCGTGTGCTGTGGCATGAGACTGTCTCTGTTTGAATTTATTTTTTGTTTTCAATGCTAATGATTCCAGGCGAGGAACAGACTGTCTCCCAGATTACTAAACACGTGTTAAAACTGAAGGTTGGCACTTGCAGGTACTAGGATCCTCTGAGATCATCGTCCCCAAGGGCAGAACAAGACCAGGGCTGGCAGGCCTCCACAGGGGCTTCTAGATGGAATGTACGTCTTTAACAGCATTTTTGTCACTGGCTGTCTCTCTTGATGTAATTGCACCATAAACTTAACCGTGGCGCTTCCAGGTTAAACGTCCACACATCTCCTGAACCCATCATTTTGCCTCCGTCTCTGGGTTCATTTTGGAAAGTATTTGGTTGGATTCTGGAAGGGGGAGGAAACCTCATATTCCCGGCATTCCAGAGCCAGCCTCCTGGCTTCTTCCCTGAGGGCAGCCTCGCTCCCCCAGCACAGGGAGGGACTGAGCCCAGGAGGATGCCCCCTTGCCCAAGGCCAAGGGGTGAACAAGCGGGACTCAAGGCAGACGTGTGGGCACAAGGAACTGCAGCCTGTGGCCTGCTGGGTGGGGGCAGGAGCCAGGTCTTTGAGGCTGTGCATTCCAGATATGACCTCCTGGTTCATTTGGCCCCATGTAGCAAGAAGCTACTGAGGAGGAAGAGAAAAAGCGGTATGAAAACGAATATGAAACGGCCCGAAGAGAAGCGATGGAACGGATGAAAGCCGAGAAGGAGAGGAGGCAACTGGAGGAGAAGCTGCAGGCCGAGGTGCTGCTTCAGCAGATGGAGGAGCTGAAGGTGAAGGAGATGGAGGTGAGCACAGGCCCCGCGACGGCCTCCCCGGCATTTGCTCGTTGCTATCAAATGGGAATTTAAAAAGCTGTTCTAAATAGAGATCATATCAGGAGACGTGGTTTTATGAAACGCAACAACAGCTGGGCTCTCCCTTCTCTCGAATGAATTCCCATCTCGTGTTTTCCGTACCCCTAGGTTGTGTGCCCAGATTCTAGGACATGAACAATGTGGAGACAATGCATGTTCTCTAGACATGTTCAGAGACCTACTGTCCCAGAGCCTTCTTAGGACTTGGATTTCCAGTGTGCTAAGTAGCCATGATTCAGTCTGCTGGCCTTAGCACATGGCTCTCCACTGGTAGCAGGTCTTGGGTCTCAAGGCGTAAACCACGAGGGTTTTTGGTCCACTGTGCAGTTTCCCGGTGGGCTGAGTTTTCCTATTCAGATGTGGTGAGGCCCTGGGCTCATTTGACCCTTGTCTCTCCATTCCCCAGGACTGAATGGTTCCATAAACAGATAATTAGTGCCCATTACTCATACTAGGTGCTAAGTTCTGGGGCGGTGAGCAAGGCCCATAGTCCCAGCCATCACAGGCAAGTGTCAGGTAGGGAAACAGCATTAAGTTCAGTAAAGTGGGGACAAGTACAGGGTCCTAGGGGAGCACAGAGCTTCCTTGTCTGTGGTTGGGAAAGGCTCTTGGAGGAAACGGCTTGCTGAGATGGAACAGGTGAGTGAGTGAAGCTGGGCAGAGGGGCTCAGAGCCCCAGAGGTGGGAGAGGACATGACCACGGGGGGCCAGGCCAGCCCTTATTGCTTGTATCTGCCAAAAATGACGATGAGGAATGAAGGCCACTCTGATTCCCGAGATCTTAGTTGGGTTTCCTGTCCTTGTAACCACAGGCAACGAAACTGAAGAAGGAGCAGGAGAATCTGTTGAAGCAGCGATGGGAGCTGGAGAGGCTGGAGGAGGACAGGAAGCGGATGGCGGCCCTCCGGCAGAAAGCAGAGCTGGGGTGTGTGAAGAGGCCCTGCCTGCCCCTCCCACCCCAGGGCCCTTCCAGGCGGTGGGCGCCTCGCTGCTTTCCCAGCCTTGCATCCAGGGCTTTGACACCATGAAAGATGCGACCTATAGTAGGTAGTTCTCTAACCTCCTTAGTTCTTTATAAGATAACTGACAGCAGTCTCTATTTTGCTCATTTGTAGGCGCTTTTTGAGACATCAGTATAATGTGCAACTCAACAGACGTACACAGCAGATCCAAGAGGAGCTGGTAAGTCTGCAGAGACAGCCTGCCCTCTCTTCCACCTCTTTTGAAAACAGTGTTTTTCATTGGTCAGTATATGAGTATATTCTTGTAAAAATTAAAACTCAAAGTGAGAATCCCCCTCGACCAGCCCCTGCAATCCCTGCCCTCCCCAGAAGTGACCATTTGGTGTGTATCCTTCTAGATACATTTCTATACATACACACACATACACAGGGTTTTTGGTGGTGGTTTTTAAATATAACTGAAGTTGCATTCTGCAGTGTGTTTACTTAACAGTAGATCTCAAATATTTTTTAAGATCAATATATTTAGGCTGAGCAGGTTCTTTTGTGGTAGCTGCTCAGAATTCCTGTCACGTGCTTTGGGGAGCTCCCTCTCTGAGACAGGGACACAGAGAGGGAGCAAAGCTGCTTTCCTTCCATCCCCGTCTACGCCAGTCAGGGCAACCATAGGTAGCAGCGTCACAGCTGCTGTTCTGAGTCTTTCTTTACAACATTCCATTGCAGAGATCACATAAGAGTAATTTTCCCACTAATGGAGATTTGGGTTGTTTCTGGTTTTTCCCTCTTCCATAAAGCTGCCATCAGCATTTTGTATATGTACCTGTGCAGTTCTGTCACGGTAGTCTATGTTCCTAGAAGTGGAATTGCTGCCAGAGTGTTTGTCCTAAAGTCCTGCCAATTTTCAGTTCCACAGACGTGTCCAGGATCACAGACACACACTTGATGGCGGAGGGTCTTTCCGTTAGGGAGAAAACTCCTGGGCCTCTGCAGTGTTTAAACCATCCCTAAGCGATTGTTCTGTCTGTTCTGAAAAAGCAATCCCACATTTTCCCATGTCTGTCTTGAGAGCATTTGGAAGGGTCATGACCTCCTGCTCTCAGTGATGGGTGCAGGAGAGCGGCTGGCAGGTGGCCACCGCTGCTGCACAGGGCGCTACACTGCTCACTGCTGCACTTTGTCCTGCTTCCTCTAGGAGGCAGACAAGCGGATCCTCCAGGCGCTCCTCGAGAAAGAGGACGAGAACCAGCGCATCCACCTGGCCAGGCGGGAGCAGGCCCTGGCCGACGTGGCATGGATGAAGCAGGTGATCGAGGAGCAGCTGCAGCTGGAGCGGGAACGTGAGGCAGAGCAGCAGATGCTGTTGAGGTGAGAGGGGGTGACTAGCCCAGGACCCTCCGGGCCTCTGCTCTGGAGCCCCGCTAGTCACAGGAGGGTTACCACTTGTTATGGAAACTTCTGTCCTTGTTGATGTGTCCATCATTCCTGAGGAGCACATCTTTGCTGTTGGGCCTGGCATGTGGGGGGTGTTTCCCTTTTAGGTTATTGAAAGTGGAAATCATGGTAGAGAGTCAGGATCTGTTGATCTAAAATCTTAGAAATTTGAAAGGAAATTGGTATGAATTAGGCAGGTGTTGAACGCTTCGTAACTCTATATAAATGGGTCCGGATCCTAAAAAGTAAACTAGTAGAGTCAAACCTGAGAATAGGTGACGTTTTTTGAGTACTTACTGTGTGGCAGACGTGAAGGTTTAATCCGGATGCCCGGCCGTCTCAGGGCACAGAGACTCGAGGGCGAGCCAGCTTGGCCCCGGGAGAGTGGTGAAGAGGCTCAGGCACAAGCCTTGCCCCTCCTCTTCAGGGTCCCGATGACTTCCTTCACCTCGGTGCTTAAATGGCCTTGGTGGCAGAGTGTGCCAGGTGTTTTCTGTAAAGATATGGGGTATATTGAAAAAGGTAATTTAAAGTACTTATAATAATACTTTCTATGAATGTCGCCCTTCATTTTAAGCTTTTAAAAGCTTGTTTGGGTAGGTTTACTTGAAGGTTGGCCCCACAGGAAGCCCAAGATGTGTGCTAACTGATGCTTTGCAGCCCTTTTTGTTCTTCAGTTAACATTCTGCCATCGGCCTGCTTGCACCCATTTTGTTTGCCCAGGGATGAGGCCAAGGAGATGTGGGAGAAGAGAGAGGCAGAGTGGGCCCGAGAGAGGAGCGCGCGTGACCGACTGATGAATGAGGTGATTCCAGTGGGCAGACACGAAGGGCCATCAGATCCCCGGGCAGGTGTCCGGGAGTCATCGATCATATTCTGACCCTTAGATCTTCTGGGGACAGACAGAGTCTTCTCTGGTTATTTTAAACGGACTTTAAAAAGTATTATAAAGGTAACATAAGCTTATTAGAAAAAGAAATTCAGAAGTACAGAAAAGTAAAAATGAAAAAAAATCACCCAGAGCCCCATCATCCACATAAGCCAAAAAACCAAATCCATTGCTGTTGAGTCAACGCCGACCTATGGCAACCCCATGTGTTTCAGACTGGAACTGCACTCCATAGGATTTTCATCCACATAAAAACCAAAAACCAAACCCGTTGCTGTCGAGTCGATTCCGACTCACAGTGACCTGCCCTATAGTGTTTCCAAGGAGTGGCTGATGGATTTGAACTGCTGACCTTTTGGTTAGCAGCCAAGCTCTTAACCACTGCGCCACCAGGGCTCCTTCAGCCACATAGCCACTATTTATTTCCTCCTACTCTTCTGTTTCTATGCGTAATATTTTTTCCTAATTTTTTAATACTGTGCTACCTTTGATTTCAAACATTTTAACATACTATTACATCATCTTCCTGAATATTATTATTTTTTATTGTGCTTTAAGTGGAAGTTTACAATTCAAGTCAGTCTCTCATACAAAAATTTATACACACGTTGCTATGTGTCCCTAGTTGCTCGCCCTATACTGTGAGTGCACATTCCTCCTCTCCACCTTGGATTTCCTGCGTCCATTCAACCAGCTCCTGACCCTCTCTGCCTTCTCATCTCACCTCTGGACAGGAGCTGCCCATTTAGTCTCATGTATCTACTTGAGCTAAGAAGCACACTCTACACGAGTATCATTTTATGTCTCATAGTCCGGTCTAATTTTTGTCTGAAGAGTTGGCCTTGGGAATGGTTTCATTTTTGGGCTAACAGAGAGTCTGGGGGCCACGTCTTCTGGGGTCCCTCCAGTCTCAGTCAGACCATTAACTGTGGTCTTTTTACTAGACCTAAATATTATTTTAATGGCTGCATAAGATATCCTCACGTGGGTGTATCATAGTTTGTTTAACCATTCCCCTCTTGTGGGTATCCTGGTATTTTGCAACTTTGAGTCATTATAAGAAACACTGCGATGAACATCTTGGTACATAAGGCTTTTCCATATTTAGGAATTTTTTCCCTTAGGGTGGATAACCAGAAGTGGGCTAAGTGGGTTAAAGACCATAATTATTTTATTTGTCAGTATATAAGTAATGCATATACAACACACCTCAATTATGAGGAAGTCTTTTGGGAGAAAAATTGTCTTCTTTATCCATGTATTGAAAGATACTGTAAAATGGTTTGCGCATGCTGAAGCCCTGGTGGCACAGGTTAAGAGCTCAGGCTGCTAATCAAAGGTCAGCAGTTCAAATCCACCAGCTGCTCCTTGGGAACCCTATAGGGCAGTTCTACTCTGTCCGATAGGGTCGCTATGAGTCAGAATTGACTCGACGGCAGTGGGTTTGATTTTTTGGTTTTGTGCATGCTAATATGCTATATTTTGGAATCGATGGGATACCAGATCCCAGTTGGTGATTTTCCACTTTTGTGAATACCAAATATTCTCCAGCGTCTTTTGATTTTCCCCATTTTAAATTCTTCTCCTGGTTGTGGCCACTTTTCACGCCCCCTCCAGAGAGCATAAATGTGGGTCATATCCAGTGACTTCCTGCAGCTCTTGGGTCCTGAGTCCTGACCGCATGCTGGGTTGGTGGTGGGCGTGATACTACTCTGTGGCCAGGTCTTCACCACAACAGGCCTCTGCTGCTTTAAACAGTAGATTTAAACCCAAAACATTGAGGGGGGCGGTGACCCAGATTCTGCCTGTGGTCATTGTGGCTTGTGGCTTTTTCTCTTTTTTTAGAACCCACTGATGGGGAGCAAGACACAATTTGTTGCTGACAAGTTTCTCTGCCCCTGGGAGGGGGCATCATCTACAACTCCTTTGGTCTCTTTGTACTCAGCCATGTGTTGGGGGTGGGTGGGAAATGCCTCTGTACCCTGATAAACGTGGCGAACATTGATTGGACCAAATCCTGTGGTCTGGACTTGCCTTAAATAAAAAAACCAGTTGCCATTGAGTTGATTCTGACTTATGGCAACCCCACGTGTGTCAGAGTAGAATCATGCTCCGTAGGGTTTTCAGTGGCTGATTTTTTGGAAGTACATTGCCAGGTCTTTCTTCCAGGGTGCCTCTGGGTGGATTCAAACCTCCAGTCATTCAGTTAGCAGCCAGACACTTAACCACCGCACCACTGGGGCTCCTCCTGACTCGCCTTAGTCTGGTGCGTTTAGGCCTGAGGCTGAGCATTAGGCTTGTAGGACACGTATCTGTTGGAGTCAGACTGGAATCTTCCCTTTTCCTTTCTGCTGAGAACAGGTTCTGACAGGGAGACAACAACAAATCCAAGAAAAGATTGAACAGAACCGACGTGCACAAGAGGAATCCCTAAAACACAGGGAGCAACTCATCCGCCATCTTGAGGAAGCGAGAGAATCGGCTCGTCGGGAGAAAGAGGAGAGCGAAGAACTGAAGTCAGCATGGAAACAGGAGCTAGAAGCCCAGGTGGGGCTCAGCCCGGGGGGCGGGAGCAGCCCGTGGGAGCAGCAAGGGGGGTGAGAGCCTTGGGGGCAGCAGCCCCGAGGAACGAGCCCTGCTGGCTCCCAGGTCATGCTTCTGAGTCAGAAGCCCTTGACTGATGCCACCGTGTGGCAGTGTGTGTTGTCCCCGAAGTCGATGTGTGGGGGTTCAGTGCACCTCTTTTATTTCCAGTTGAAACCCTGGCCTACATGATTGTAATTCACACTCACTCCAGGCGAGTTGCTGAATTCAGTACCTAATACGTAACATAAAATAGTCCCCAAACACATGGCCTCATCCAGAGGTTTTTACAAGGTACATAGTCCCATACACATGACCTTTCTCAGTACCCTGAGTTTCCCTCCTGCTCATTGGCACGTGCTGTCACTGTTATTTAGCTCTGATTCCCCAGCGGGGCAGAACCAGGGCTTTCCCTCGTGGTCAGAGGCAGGGCTCTGCCCATGGGCCTGTGCTGTGGGTGACGTGGCTCTTGGTGCCCAGGTTGTAGAGCGCCAGCTGCAGGCACAGGAAGAGGACCAGCAAGAAGAGGAGGAGGAGGAGGAGGCCAGGCAGGCGGAGCAGCTCACCGATGCCCTCCTCCAGCAGGAGGCGAAGATGATGGCCGAGCAGGGCTATTGGCCCAAGGTAGGGAGCCGGCCAGGCGAAGGGCCACCACTGCCAAGCCAGACTCCACCCGGCGCCCACTCTTCTGGGCCTACGCGTAGCCTTGTGCTCAGCTCTGCTTTCCAGCTGTCCCGGGTTCTTCCCCGCGCCTTTTCTCTTGTATCTCTCTCCCCGCCTGGTAGGGAACCTCGACACAGGGTCTGTTTCGGTCCTTGGTTGGACCTCAAATAGCCCTTGAGGTGATTTTGCTCTGGCTCCTGCCACTGCAGCCCTAAGATGACGAGCTGCGTGCCTTTCCACCCTGTTTGGGGACAAGGAGCAATCTAAGAAGAGTGCTGGCCACCACTGACGAGAGGTGAAAGAGCCGTGGCGCCAGGTGTGACCGCAGTCAGCCGGAGCCCCGGTGAACAGGAGGCCTGCTTCTGGTCCCTTCCTCCTCTTGGCGCCTCGTTGCCCTCTCCCTCTATGCAGTCCTCTCCTGTCCTCCTCTCTGAGGCGTCTTTCTCTCCCTGTCTCTCTAAGTACCTGCGTGAGCCCTTGTGCAGGGCACCTTGGGAGCACAGAGAAGCAAAGGCTGTGACCCTGCCCTGAGGGAACTGCTGACCAGGGCACCAGTGGTGACAAGGGCAGCAGGCCTTGCCTCTGCCCCTCCATTACTGCTGGGCTGGGGAGCCCTGCTGGGGCCCCACGGTGGCTGCAGAGCAGCACTCCCAAAGTGCCTTGCCTGGGACGTGTGCGGCAGGAGAGAAGGGCCGGCTCCTTCTGCGGTCAGATAACTCTGGGAAACTGTGTGAAACAGCTGGAGCAGGTACTACATTTGCTGTAGAACGTGAACGTCCCAACACACAGGGACTCTCCAAGAGGTTCAGGGAGCAGCAGCTTCTAAACTCACCTGACCATGGAGTGATGCATTTCTCAGGATCAGGGTCTTACAGAGCACATCTGAAAATGCTTCTTAGGGCCAGTACCTTTTAAAAAGGTATAAAGTGCCTCATTCATGGCTTAGGGTCAAAGCTTTTTCAGCTGTGAATGAAAACAGCCATTTAAGCTGTGCCTTTAGCTTGTACTTAAAATGGGACGAATTCCCAGCGCTCCAGAGACTGCTCATCTGACCAGTCACATGTTTTCTTTCTCTTCCCAGACTTACAGACATCCCAAGATTGCTTGGAACTGACTCCGTTCGTCCTGTCAGCACAGGGAGCGACGATGTTAGGGTTTGTGGTATGCAGCCACCAGGCAGTTTTACGGTATTCTGTTATAGTCAGGGTGCCAGCTGCTGTAAAGTAGTTCCCGTTCAGGTACGTGATTACATGGATCGCAGGCTGGCCAGACGCGAAGGTGCTGAGGATACTCAGCACCCATGAGAGGCCCTTTCCTGCCTCTTGTCCAAGAAAGCATCTGTGACAGACACAGGTTTCCAGTGCTGTTAGCAGTTGTAACATATTTATAAATATATAAGGTTCTAAATCAATACTAAGAGGTACCAGTCATGCTCCATGACGGGTGTGTTTTCCTGTTGTCTTATTCTTCACTGTCAGCCTCCTGGGAGGAGGTTTTCCAGTTGTTAAAATTGCCATTGCTGTTTAAAATTTAACTTAAAGATTCTCTCGAAAACAAGCTAGTAGGCCTTGGTGCAGTTTACTCAGGGTTATCGCAGGATCATGTCTTTTGTATTCTGGAAGAAAAGAACTATTAACCAGTTAAATCCCTGAGACAGTCTCCTTGGTCCATGGATGCTTTGTGGAAAGGTCGAGGAACGAGGAAGCATTTTGGTGGAGTTTTCATAGAGTGCTGTGTGTGGGTTTGTGATGGATGTCACCTGGTTGCCTAATCTTCCAAAGGACCTTGGGCCTCTAGTGTCTTGGGAAGGTCCCTCTGGGTCTTAGCCGCGTGCAGCTTTCCAGGATTTACAGGCCCAGAGGAGGGGGCACTGAACCTGAAGACTCAGACCCACAGATTGGCAGATGTGGCATACCATTCGATGAACTCTCTACAAAGCTACAAGTCCCTGGCAGCAAGAATATTTTTATGACTTACACTCTTCCTCTGAGGTTTCAGTTTTCATTGCATCGTGTTTAAGATTCCATATCTCGTAAATTTTCACCTGTATTGCTAATGACAGGGCATTGTTACATGGTTCTTAAAGCTACAGTTCATTAAAAATCCTGAGTCTAAGGGCTGCATTGCCTTGCACTTCTATTGTGCTGTAAAAACAAATGGAGCTGCAAATGCCCCAGAACCTGCTTCTCATTGCCCTGTCTTGAATGTCTCTGGCTGTGTTTCCCCGAGAGAGTGCCACTCTCAGGATGCCGCTCCTGCTCACTTCCCACGTCCGCTGGACTTTCATTGTGAAAAGGAGTTCTGGTCTGATCCCCTTGCCTCCAGGCTTGGTACTGTTGCTCTTATTAATTGTTGCAAGTGGGCTGTATGGACTGATACATTTTTATTGATTTAATTCACATTGCCTACAGGTTTGGACATTTGTGACTGGTCACATTTTTATAGGTAATATTCATTTTTCTTGTAAATGTGTGGCGTTCCCCCCTCTTGTTTCCATTCCATTGGCGCTTCTAAATAAACCACAGAAAATTATTAGCAGTCATATACTGACCAAGTCCCAGTACATAACCAATGTGAACAGAATGCCTGGTAAATGGGCACTCAAATACTTACTGAATAAATTTTATTTCTTTACTTACTTTTTGGCTTGCTTGCTTTTGTGGCCTGGCTGCAATCTTCCTTATCAGCATTGAGGATTATGTTACACCGGCTCTCTACCCTATAATAATACTGAATACATGTTTCATCTCTAAGCTGGGCCAAAATATTTGTCTCCTAAATTTAGAGCCCCCACTTTTACTATTTCTATTACACCCCTATTCCTCTCCTTTCATATGTACTTTGATGTGTCCTGGTTCTGTAGACATATATTGGTTTTATTGTCTCTAAGCACCTTTTTCTGCTTCACGTACTGTCAAATTAATGATTTTACAGATTATTCTTTAGCGATTCTTCAGTAAAGGTCAATTCCTTTAGTACAGATGGTGTGGAAACCACTAATATGAAATGATTCTTACCTCGTTGTGTACGTAACGAAGATTTTCCCTCTCCTCCTGCTCCTCACTCAGCACGTACTCTCTCTACGGAGGGAACGTCAGGCAGTGGGGATGTCGTGGAGCTGAACAAGACAATAATGCCAGGAATCAGACCAGCCTATGACAAGCAGACGTCCCTGACAGGCACAGTCCTGCTGTAACTTGTGGGACTGCCAAGACCATTTGTGCAATAAATACAGTCAGTACCTCCATATTTCTTTATGGATATAATGAATGTTTTTTGCATGATCTGGGTTTTTAGATACCTTCTCTGTTCATAAAATATAGACAGCATCATTTAAAAGACATTTTAATGCCTTTAAAAGCATTGGCATTAGCAGTTCCACCTGTGAAGCCACGTGGAGTTTTATTTTAGGGGGTCTTTTTGATATTGATATAGGAGCCCTGGTGGTGCAGTGGTTAAGAGCTCAGCTGCTAACCAAAAGTTCAGCAGTTCAAATCCACCAGCTGCTCCTTGGAAACTCTATGAGGCAGTTTTACTCTGTCCTCTAGGGTCGCTATGAGTCGGAATCAACTTGATGGCAACGAGTTTATTTGATACTGAGTAAGAATGGACTGCCAGAAGAACAAACAAATCTGTCTTGGAAGTACTGCCAGAATGCTCCTTAGAAGCGAGGGTGGTGAGATTTCATCCCATGTACTTTGGACATGTTATCAGGAGGGATCAGTCCCTGGAGAAGGACATCATGCTAGGTAAAGAAGAGGGTCAGTGAAAGAGAGGAAGATCCTTAATGAGATGGACTGACACAGTGGCTGCAACAATGGGCTCAAACATAGCAATGATTGTGAGGATGGCACAGGACCGGGCAGTGCTGCGTTCTGCTGTATGAGGGTTGCTATGAGACAGAACCAGCTTGACGGCACCTAACAACAACAACAGCATTTGATACTGCAATGTCTTCATTTTAGAGAGGCATTTATGATATAATGTCATGAACACTCAAAAACTGGGTGCAGGGGGCCTCTCTGTACTATTTTGGCAACTTCCTGTGAATCTATAATTATTTCAAAAAAAAAAACAACAAGAATCTCTTCATGACTTGTAGCATACTTAAGAAGTTTCTTAAGACACAAAGAACACTAACCATAAGGAAAAGATTGATAAATTTGATTACATTAAAAAAGCTTATCATCAAAAGATATCTAAAGAGAGGGAATACACCTACCACAGAATAGGAAAGGATATTGGTAACCCATATAAGCCACAAAGAACTAGTGTGTACAACATTTATACATCTATGAATAATTAAAAAAGAGAACCTAACAGAAAAATGGGTAAAGAAAAAACTCGAACAGGCACTTCAGAAAGGAAGACATCTAAAAGGCAGATAAACATGAAATAGCATTCAAGCACATTATTATTTTATTTTTTATTTTTTGAAATTTTCTTTTATTGTACTTCAGGTGAAGGCTCACAGAACAAATAGTTTCTCATGAAACAGAAGTACACGTGTTGTTTTATGACATTGGTTAACAACCGCACAACATATCAACCCTCTAACTTCTCAACCTCTTTTTTTTTTTGGTGAAAATACACATAGCCAAAGGTACACCATTTCAAAAATGTCTACGTGCACAGTTCGGTGACATTGACTACGCTCTTCGAATTGTGCTGTTATTCTCACTTAAGATGAAGGCTTACAGAA